CCTTTAATGGTTGAGCCCATAAAAGCAATGAGAATGTTCGAATTGGCGCGATTTTAGGCCACTTGCGTTTAGTAATTTAGGTCATTAATAAGCGCATGCGATAGTCGGCACTACTGGGATATTACCCCGAAAAACATGATCGCGATTGACCTTATGGTTCAAAAGTTATTGGGTGTCAAAAATAGACACGGACTTAGTCTAATTTTCAGAAAAAGAGGTTTTAGATCACAACCAGATTTATTGTGTTATATGTGGTGAGTGTAGTTGCTGAATTGAGAGAAGCAACCATCAGTAGTTGATGGGGAGGTAAGTGATTGTCTACGGTTATGGATAAGTCAATGCATCAAGCAGTGGTATGGTCCAGACTGTAGCTGTTCACGCATCTATTCCTGTTATTCTGTTGATGTTTGGTGGTTGAAGAGACGGGCCTGAATGGGTTTGGATCGTCAATCATCTTATCACCACACACTATTATACAAAGGTAGAGTACCTGCAAGACCTAAGGTCTTCCTTGGTACGACTGACAATATCTATGAGAGTTGGGCTTTAATGCTATCAGACTTCATATCTTGCATATATGTTCAAACTAGTCACTCAACAGAGTGAGCAGTATTAGTATTGAGCTCTGCTTGTGCAAAGCAGACCGCAGATTGATCCAAGAAATTGGTATCAAGCGGTTATAATACTATGCTGTTTAGTTGACTTGCAAACGTACCCAGCAATGGTTACTCCTGCTAGATGTGCTTGCACATTTTAGTGGAAGAAGATGTATTCTAAAGAGTTTTCTGCAGAATTATCTTAATGCACGACATAAATCTCGATACCTCGTTAAAGTTAGCATCCACTTGCTGGTTGTTATCTGAGGATATCGTATTTATAGCTGCAAAACAACTTGTTTAGCATTTTACTTTGCTAAAACATCAAGTTACCTGGTTGATCCTGCCAGTAGTCATATGCTTGTCTCAAAGATTAAGCCGAGTTGAAGCAGTGGGGTGGTGGCGGGTCGACTTATGTCTGCGGCTCATTAAATCAGTTACGGTTCCTCGGATATTCTTTTTACATGGATAACTGTGGTAATTCTAGAGCTAATACATGAACAAGTGTTCCAACCTCAGCTTGCTGACGGAAGGATCGCATTTATTAGTACAAGACCAATGATTCTTATTCACCTAGAACCCTGTTCAGTGATTTCGGTCGCTGTCTAAGGACTAGCAGTGGGGATCTTAGCAACTTCGGTTGCATTTCTTGTGATGACTCTGAATAACTGAGCAAATCGTATGGCCTCTGAGCCGACGATGTATCCCTCAAGCAACTGCCTTATCAACTGTCGATGGTAGGTTATGCGCCTACCATGGTTGTAACGGGTAACGGGGAATTAGGGTTCGATTCCGGAGAGGGAGCCTGAGAAACGGCTACCACATCTAAGGAAGGCAGCAGGCGCGCAAATTACACAATCCCAGTACGGGGATGTAGTGACGAAAAATAACAATACGGGACTCTATTGAGGCCCCGTAATTGGAATGAGTACAATTTAAATCCTTTAACGAGGATCTATTGGAGGGCAAGTCTGGTGCCAGCAGCCGCGGTAATTCCAGCTCCAATAGCGTATATTAAAGTTGCTGCGGTTAAAAAGCTCGTAGTTGGATTTCAGTCGAACCTATGGGGTCCACTGATTAAAGGGTTAGATGGTGATGTTAGGTTTCTTGCTTGTGTCTACGGATGCTTGCTTGAACCTTCATTCCTCTTTCCTGGTGGTTACATTCATAGTGTTTAGACAGAAAATTGCTCGATATTTGCTATCAATGCTCTTTACCGAGTGTTGATTCAAGCGATCGAGACTTTTACCTTGAAAAAATCAGAGTGCTCAAAGCAGGCGTCCAAAACCTCGAAAGAGGTGCCTAAAAACGGTATGGTCAACCATCTATATGATGCGTACCACTACCTTAACTTGAATGATCTTGCATGGAATAATGGAATAGGACCTTGGTTCTATTTTGTTGGTCTTAAGAATCCAAGGTAATGATTAAGAGGGACAGACGGGGGCATTTGTATTGCGGCGCTAGAGGTGAAATTCTTGGACCGTCGCAAGACAAACTACAGCGAAAGCATTTGCCAAGAATGTTTTCATTAATCAAGAACGAAAGTTAGAGGTTCGAAGGCGATCAGATACCGCCCTAGTTCTAACCATAAACGATGCCAACCAGCGATCATTCTGAGTAACTAATTTCATGACTCGAATGGAAGCTTCCGGGAAACCAAAGTTTTTGGGTTCCGGGGGAAGTATGGTTGCAAAGCTGAAACTTAAAGGAATTGACGGAAGGGCACCACCAGGAGTGGAGCTTGCGGCTTAATTTGACTCAACACGGGAAAACTCACCCGGCCCGGACACTGAGAGGATTGACAGATTGAGAGCTCTTTCTTGATTCAGTGGGTGGTGGTGCATGGCCGTTCTTAGTTGGTGGAGTGATTTGTCTGGTTAATTCCGATAACGAACGAGACTCTAGCCTACTAAATAGACTTGCAGTTTACACTGCAGTACTCCCCCTTAGTCAACCTGTGGGTGGTAGTATCTCTTGATGGTTTCGGCTGTTGAGGGCTCTGCTGCTATTAGCCTACAGAATTGGCTAGGGTAAGGATGCTGTAGCACTGTAAGGACTTCTTAGAGGGACAAGCGGCGCTCGCAGCCGCACGAAACAGAGCAATAACAGGTCTGTGATGCCCTTAGATGTCCGGGGCCGCACGCGTGCTACACTGAAGTGGTCATCGTGCATACTGTTTCCTGCTCCGAAAGGAGTGGGTAACCGCTTGAACCCATTTCGTGATGGGGATTGGGCATTGTAATTATTGCCCATGAACGAGGAATTCCCAGTAAGCGTGAGTCATTAGCTTGCGTTGATTACGTCCCTGCCCTTTGTACACACCGCCCGTCGCTACTACCGATTGAATGATTTAGTGAGGACTTCGGACTGGTCAATCCAGACCATTGGGAAACTAGTGGTCGGATTGTGCTGGAAAGATGTTCAAACTTGATCATTTAGAGGAAGTAAAAGTCGTAACAAGGTTTCCGTAGGTGAACCTGCGGAAGGATCATTAACGTATTACCCTCTTATTATAAGAGAAATACAACCTTCAAACAATCAAACACTCTGCATAGTGATATTGTAGATGCTAATATGGTGAATGCAATTGAATTGTATTTGCATTAGAGTCGCAATTGTGAATGTTTAATGCAAACATTTAGCCATTGCAACATGATTCTAACTTGCATTACATTCGTTCATTCATACATCCATCTTTCATTATCCAATGCAACAAAGAGTGAGGGTTATCTAACGATAGCCATAATTTCTTTTGCAAAACAATTGTAGTTTATAATGAAAAGCCTGTCTTGCTACATACTTGGTACCTGTTCAAGTCTTCAGCTTATGCTGACGGCAAGGTTTAAAGAAGGAAGTTTTACACTTCTTCGCCTAACTAAGTAAAGACAACTATGGTTTTTATAAACTGCATACAATTGTTTTCAAACCCTCTCAATGCAGATTTAGGATACTTATTAAAAGTCCCACGGTGGCAAAGATACATCTTCAAGCGGTGGATCACTCGAATTACCAATCGATGAAGAACGTAGCTAGCTACGATAATCGGTGCGAATTGCAGGACACGCCGAGCACTTGAGCTTCCAACGCACATTGCGGCTTTCGGGTCTTTTCCGAGGTCACATCTGTCTGAGAGTTGAGATGTAAAATAATCAACAAAACACTTGCATACTACCATATATGCATTGTTTTGAGAGGATTGTATATTTATATGCATGAATCTTGATGTTTTATTCCTTTTCTTAATTGCAATTCGTTGCAATTTAGTAAGGAGAATCTCAAATCTACTTGTTTCACATGATAAATTTTGTGTACATGCATATTTCATCTCTGCAAGCAGTATACAGGGTGTCTCAGTCAAATAGCCGGTTTTGAATCTTTTGTAACTCATCTTTCAGTTGTTCGAATTGAAAATTTTTTGTTTTTACCATGTAGAGC